CAAGAGAAAATACTGGAAGGGTTTGGTAGGCATTGACCTTGAGTTTTGGAGTTGTAGTTCATCTGTATCCAGTTAGCACTGTGGACTCAAGCAATGACTGATCTGGATCAAACTTGGCATGGATACTCAATATGCCCAAATGTGAACACTGATTGAGTTTGGGGAAAATAGACCTTGGCATTTGGGAGTTGGTCGTTGCTGGGATTTATAGTTCACTTACAATGAAAGAGCATTCTGAATCACGTCAACGATTGAATTCGGCCAAACTTCCCACATAGAACCCCCATGACCAACAGAAAATATTGTGTTTTTTGATGGTCTTTGGTGATCCCTCTGACACCCCCTCGCGACCCCCACAGGGGTCCCAACCCCCAGGTTGAAAAACACTGATGTAGAGCATGATAATCTGCTGACCTGGACTTGATCTCCCCATATTTATTCTGTAGCCTTTGCTTCATGACATAATCAGATGGAGAAGGGAAGGGATTCTTCAGCCCAGATGGAGCCCAGAGTGAAGATGAAGGATTCAAACCAGACCAGCCCTGAAGGGGGAAGAGAGCCCCATGAAATGTGGGGCAGGAGAAGTGTGGGGTTCCCAGAAAGAATGGGCCAAGATGTCCTGGCTGAGAAGACCTTCAGCGCAGACCTTCAGTGCCAATGCTTCCGGCACTTCTGCTATGAGGAGACCTTGGGACCCCGAGAAGTGTGCAGCCGCCTCCACTCTCTCTGCCGCCTGTGGCTGAAGCCCGAGCGACACTCCAAGGCGGAGATGCTGGACCTGGTGATCCTGGAGCAGTTCCTGGCCGTCCTTCCTGCCGAGATGGAGCGCTGGGTGAGGGAATGTGGGGCAGAGACCAGCTCCCAGGCCGTGGCCTTGGCTGAAGGCTTCCTCCTGAGTCGGGCAGAAGAGGAGCAGGTACTACAGGAGAAAGAGATCCTTCAGACCCAGGAGGCCCCATTGGATACCACCCAGGGGTTCCCTTCCAGGTGGACTGAACTAGAGGACAACACAGGAGAGTCTCCACTCGGTAAGATGTCCTTATTCGCTTGGTCCTTTGCTCTAAGGAGTCCCCCAAATTTTGGGTCTTCTGTTATGTCCCCAAATACATGTTTCCATTGTTATTTTATTAAACTACTAGCCATCCCCTGCCACGCGTTGCTGTGGCCCAGTCTGGTGATCTGGAAAATAAAGTAATGAGAAAGTGTTGGTTTCTAATCTATGTAATTTCTTTATGCTTGTGGGTAAACAGTATTTTTTCCTGTTTCTTTGTCACTGTTGATGTGGAGATTGTCTGGTTTGCCTACTTGGGAACATGCAACATAGAATTGTCCTTCTTTAAGGGTCCCTTTCAAATCTATGATACTCTATCTGTGTGTGTGTGTGGATCATATCTATCTATCTATCTATCTATCTATCTCTATGGCTGGATGGCTCGTTGTCAGGAGGGCTTTGCTTACATTTTCTTGTCCTGGTGAAGAGAGTTGGACAGCATGGCCTTCAGTATTTTCTGTTGGTCATGGGGGTTCTGTGTGGGAAGTTTGCCCCAATTCTGTCCTTCGTGGGTTCAGAATGCTCTTTGATTGTAGGTGAACTATAAATCCCAGTAACTACAACTACCAAGTGTCAAGGTCTATTTTCCCCACTCCATTTGTCTGCATATTTGGGCATATGGAATATTCGTGCCAAATTTGGTCCAGATTCATCATTGTTTTTGAGTCCAAAGTGCTCTCTGGATGTTGGTGAACTACAACTCCCAAACCCAAGGTCAATGCCCATGAAACCCTTCCAATGTCTTCTGTTGATCATGGGAGTTCTGTGTGCCAGGTTTGGTTTTATTCCATCATTGGTGGAGTTCAGAATGCTCTTTGATTGTAAGTGAACTATAAATCCCAGCAACTACAACTCCCAAATGACAAAATCAAAAAAATTTGAGTGAAGGATATACTTTGGCTTGTTAGGTGTATGCTGTCCAAATTTGGTGTCAATTGGTCCACTGGTTTTTGAGTTCTGTTAATCCCACAAACGAACATGACATTTTTATTTATATAGATTTTAAGAACAGTTTTAAGAATGTACAGCCAGTCTCCAAGTTATGTAGAAGATAGGTTCTATAGGTGTGTTCTTAAGTTGACGACACCAAATTGGGAGGGATAGCCAATAGTCCAGAGGACAGGAGCAGGATTCAAAATGATCTTGACAGATTAGAGAGATGGCCAAAACTAACAAAATGAAGTTCAACAGTGACAAATGCAAGATACTCCACTTTGGCAGAAAAAATGAAATGCAAAGATACAGAATGGGGGATGCCTGGCTCGAGAGCAGTACGTGTGAAAAAGATCTTGGAGTCCTCGTGGACAACAAGTTAAACATGAGCCAACAATGTGATATGGCGGCAAAAAAAAGCCAATGGATTTTGGCCTGCATCAATAGGAGCATAGTGTCTAGATCTAGGAATGCTACCCCTCTATTCTGCTTGGTTAGACCACACCTGGAATATTGTGTCCAATTCTGGGCACCACAATTCAAGAGAGATATTGACAAGCTGGAATGTGTCCAGAGGAGGGCGACTAAAATGATCAAGGGTCTGGAGAACAAGCCCTATGAGGAGCGGCTTAGGGAACTGGCCATGTTTAGCCTGAAGAAGAGAAGGCTGAGAGGAGATATGATAGCCATGTATAAATATGTGAGAGGAAGCCACAGGGAGGAGGGAGCAAGCTTGTTTTCTGCTTCCTTGGAGACTAGGACGCAGAACAATGGCTTCAAACTACAAGAGAGGAGATTCTATCTGAACATGAGGAAGAACTTCCTGACTGTGAGAGCCGTTCAGCAGTGGAACTCTCTGCCCCGGAGTGTGGTGGAGGCTCCTTCTTTGGAAGCTTTTAAACAGAGGCTGGATGGCCATCTGTCAGGGGTGATTTGAATGCCATATTCCTGCTTCTTGGCAGGGGGTTGGACTGGATGGCCCATGAGGTCTCTTCCAACTCTTTGATTCTATGATTCTATGAATTGGTATGTAAGTCAGAAGAAGTACAATTTTAAATGTAACTGCAGCCAATCCCTGTCCCTGTGACAACTGGCTTTTGCTCTCAGCTTCCCAAGCAGATAAAGTTCATGTTTCATTCAAATAGGACTTAAGAATGAACTTTGAAAAACAAAGAAATTAAGCTTCCTCTCCCTTCTTTGGTATTTCACAGGAGATGAGCCAAGGATGCCGGGAAGAAGTCATGGTTCATCTCTTTGTGGTGCAAGACAAATGGCTTCTGTGGAACAAGATCAGGTAAAAAATCATAGAGTTGGAAAAGACTCTATATATTGTGTTTACATATTGTGTTTACATATTACTTGCAAGCCACTCTGAGTCCCCTTTGGGGTGAGAAGGGTGGCATATAAATGTTGTAAATAAATCTATATAAATAAAAATGTAATGTTCATTTGTGGGATTAACATAACTCAAAAACCACTGGACGAACTGACACCAAATTTGAACACAATACACCTAACAGTCCAACGAGTGTCCATCACACATAAACACACATGCACACACACAAAACCCCAGTGGAACAGACTTAAAAACCCAAAAACACACAGTTCTCCCATGACCAACAGAAAATACTGCATATATTAGAAACCAGCACTTCCTCATTACTTTATTTTCCAGATCACCAGACTGGGCCACAGCAACGCGTGGCAGGGGACAGCTAGTATATACATATACACATACACTCATATACATATGCATATGCACACATTCATACACACACACATATATGCACAAACACACACAAATATACACATACACACACAAATATACACATACACAAATTAAAAAAAATTGAGTGAAGGATATACTTTGGCTTGTTAGGTGTATGCTGTCCAAATTTGGTGTCAATTGGTCCACTGGTTTTTGAGTTCTGTTAATACATACACACATATATACATATACACATGCACATATACATGAACATACATATATACATATACACATGCACACACATATACATATCCACATAAATACATATATACACACAAATATGCATATAGACAAGCACACACATATACACAATATGCATGTACACATATAAACACACAAATTCACAAATATATACACACACATACACACATATATACACACACAAAACACATATTCACAGACTGGGCCACAGCAACACGTGGCAGGGAATGACTAGTAAATAAAAGACCACATGGGCCATCTAGTCCAACCCGTCATGCAGGAAAAGCACAATCAATGTATACCTCACGGATGGCCATCCAGCCTATGTTTAAAAGCCTCCAAAGAAGGAGCTTCCACCACACTTAGAGGCAGAGAGTTCCACTGTTGAACAGCTCTTCTTAGTCAAGAAGTTCTTCCTAACATTCAGATGGATTCTCCTTTCCTGAGCCCTAGTCTCCAGGGTAGCAGAAAACAAGGCTGCTCCCTCTTCCTTTAGCATATTTATACACGACTCTCATGTCTCCTCTCAACCTTCCCTTCTGCAGGCTAAACAGACCCAGCTCTTTAAGACACTCCTCATAGGGATTCATAGTCTCCAGGCCTTTAGTTGCCCTCTGGACACCTTCCGGTCAATATCTCTTTTAAGTGGTGGTGCCCAGAGTTGGACACAGTGTTTTTCCAGCTGAGGTCTAACCAGTGGATCAAATTTGGAGACAGAATAATTTGGGGAACGATCTAGTCGAAGGCACAGTGGAACATCCATATCTTTAGTTCTTTCTGGAAGGTGCACAATAATAGAATCATAGAATCATAGAGTTGGAAGAGACCTCATGAGCCATCCAGTCCAACCCCCTGCCAAGAAGCAGGAATATGCATTCAAAGCACCCCTGACAGTTGGCCATCCAGCCTCTGCTTAAAAGCTGCCAAGGAAGGAGCCTCCACACACTCTGAGACAGAGAGTTCCACTGCTGAACAGCTCTTATAGTCAGGAAGTTCTTCTGAATGTTTAGGTGGAATCTCCTCTCCTGTAATTTGCTGAGTCCTAGTCTCCAGGGCAGCAGAAAACAAGCTTGCTCCTTCCTCCTCCCTGTGGCTTCCTCTCACATATTTATCCATGGCTATCATATCTCCTCTCAGCCTTCTCTTCTTCAGGCTAAACATGCCCAGCTCCTTAAGCCGCTCCTCATAGGGCTTGTTCTCCAGACCCTTGATCATTTTAGTCGCCCTCCTCTGGACACATTCCAGCTTGTCAATATCTCTCTTGAATTGTGGTGCCCAGAATTGGACAATATTCCAGGTGTGGTCTAACCAAAGCAGAATAGAGGGGTAGCATGACTTCCCTAGATCTAGACACTAGGCTCCTATTGATGCAGGCCAAAATCCCATTGGCTTTTTTTGCCACCACATCACATTGTTGGCTCATGTTTAACTTGTTGTCCTCAGGGACTCCAAGATCTATTTCACACGTACTGCTCTCGAGCCAAGCATCATCGTCCCTGGGGAGAGAATTCCAGAGCCGGTGGGCCACCACTGAGAAGGCCCTCTCTCTCCTCCCCACGAGCCGCATTTGTGACATGGGTGGAAGCAAAAGAAGGGCCTTCCCAGAAGATCTTAGAGATCATGTAGGTTCATAGGGAAAGATGTGGTAATGAAGATAAGCTGGTCCCAAACCATGTAGGGCTTTATAGGTGATAACCTGCACCTTGAATTGGGACCGGAAAGTTATCGGCAGCCAGTGGATAACTGGACCACTCCCTGTAGTTCGCTCCAGTTATCAACATGGCCGCTGATCTTTGCACTAACTGTGGTTTCTGGGCTGTCTTCAGGGGCAGCCCCACGTAGAATGCATTGCAGTAATCCAATCTTGAGGTAACTAAGGCGTGGACCACCATAGTCAAGTCAGACTTCTTGATGTACAGTTGCAAGTCTCAGTTGCACAAAGGTCCTCCCAGACACCGCCGACACCTGAACATCAAATTCTATTTGGCAGTAGAAGAAGCATTATTAATCTGTGTTGCCAAAATCCCTTCTTTCCAGGTGACTTTTGAAGATGTGGCTGTAACTTTCAGTGGTGCTGAGTGGGCTCTGCTGGATCCGGATCAACAGGCCCTGTACAAAGAGGTCACAAAGGAGAACTATCAGATGGTGGTTTCTTTCGGTAAGGATCCCTCTGCCCCTCGGTCATAAAAATCAGTTTAAGAATTTCCACCTGTTTGTTTCTACAGTGTTCCTGCATAAATTTATTGTCATGACCCATCTGTGTCTGGTACCTCTGGTTTCTGATCAGAGTAGTAAGAAAGGATTCCCCTCTGAATCATTTCTTGTAAAGGGACACTCAATGTTTACTTGAACATGCCGATTAATATTTTGCTCTCAGATATCTTTGTCATGTCATCCTCCAGTGCAGATTATACCCAACAACGTCCAAAGGACCATGTGTTCCCCATGACTTGGATGGCGCTCTCCTCCATAGCAAGAATTCATTTGAAATCAACGTGAATAGATGTATTGTCGAAGGCTTTCATGGCTGGAATTGCTGGGTTGTTGTAGGTTTTCAGGCTGTATGGCCATGTTCTAGAAGCATTCTCTCCTGACATTTCACCTGCATCAACGCAAGCATCCTCAAAGGTTACGAGGTCTTAACCTCTGAAGATGCTTGCCATAGATGCAGGTGAAACATCAGGAGAGAATGATTCTGGAACATTGCCCTACAACCGGGAAATCTCACAACAACCCAGACAGGAAAGGAGATTCCACCTGAACATGAGGAAGAACTTCCTGACTGTGAGAGAGAGCTGTTCAGCAGTGGAACTCTCTGCCCTGGAGTGTGGTGGAGGCTCCTTCTTTGGAGGCATTTAAGTTGAGGCTGAATGGCCATCTGTCAGGGATGCTTTGAATGTGATTTTCCTGCTTCTTGGCAGAATGGGGTTGGACTGGATGGCCCACGAGGTCTCTTCCAAGTCTAGGATTCTAGGACTAACAAAAGACCCTTCCCATGAATGTATAGCAGAGTACTCGGTTGAGCGGGCTGTGGTACAGCTAGCCAGCTGCATTAAATCACTACTGACCGAGAGGTCATGCGTTTGAAGCCAGCCCGGGTCAGAGTGAGTTTCCGGCCATTAGTCTAGCTTGCTGTTGACCTATGCAGTCTGAAAGACAATTGCACCTGTCAAGTAGGAAATTTAGGTACCTGTGTTGTTGTAGGTTTTTCGGGCTGTATGACCATGTTCTAGAAGCATTACATCCTGACATTTTGCCTGTATCTATGGCAGGCATCCTCAGAGACCTCAACCTCTGAGGATGCTTGCCATAGATGCAGGTGAAACATCAGGAGAGAATGCTTCTAGAACATGGCCATATAGCTTGAAAAACCTACAACAAGCCAATGTGGATAAAGATAGTTCTCCACAGCAAGAATGTGTATCTTCCTTCTCATTCTCTCTCATAGCATTTGTGGGAGTTGGCTGATTTCATGCTCTCTTTTTTCATTCCTTTTTTACTATTTCTGTCTCTTCTTTCAAGGTGTTGGTGGGCAAGAGAGTGAAAATGGACAAATGCAATGTGATGCATTGCTGCAAACAGAGAAATGTGAAGAGGACAAAGAGGAGAGCATGAGAATGGAAGCAAAAGAAGATAGAAGGACTCCGTGCCCTGCTGACATCTCTGAATTGCCAATCCAAGACCTCACCCGACACCAGAAAACCAATACGGTAGAGAAACCATATAAATGCCCAGAGTCTGGAAAATGCTTTTTTAACAAGAGAAGTCTCGTAGGGCATGATATGAATCAGAAAGGAGAAAAACCCTATCAATGCCCGGAGTGTGGGAAGAATTTCAGCTTGAAATCAGTCCTTAAAAATCACCAGGTTAGGCATAAAGAAGAGAAACCGTACAAATGTCTGGATTGTGGGAAAAACTTTCATTATAATGGATCCCTCACCACACACCAGAAAACCCACACTGGAGAGAAACCATACAAGTGCCTGGAGTGTGGAAAGAGTTTCAGCTACAAATCAGTCCTTAAAAATCACCAGGTTAGGCATAAAGAAGAGAAACCATACAAGTGCCTGGAGTGTGGGAAAAGTTTCAGCTACAAATCAGTCCTTAAAAATCACCAGGTTAGGCATAAAGAAGAGAAACCATACAAATGTCTGGATTGTGGGAAAAGCTTTCATCTTAACGGAGCTCTCAGTCGACATCAGAAAACCCACACGGGAGAGAAACCATATCAATGCCTGGAGTGTGGGAAATGCTTTACTCAAAAGAGAAGCCTCATAGGGCATGGAATGATTCACAGAGGAGAGAAACCCTATCAATGCTTGGAGTGTGGGAAGGGGTTCAGCTTGAAATCGGTGCTTAATAATCACCAGGCTAGGCACACCGCAGAGAAATCATACAAATGCCTCGATTGTGGGAAAAGCTTCCATAATAACGGAGCTCTCCATCGACACCAGAAGATCCACACTGGAGAGAAACCCTATAAATGCCTGCAGTGTGGGAAGGGTTTCAGCTACAGATCACTCCTTAAGAATCACCAGGTTAGACATAAACAATACAGATGTCTGGATTGTGGGAAAAGCTTTCATCACAACGAGTCCCTCATTACACACCAGAAAACCCATACGGGAGAGAAGCCCTATCAATGCCCAGAGTGTGGGAAGAGTTTCAGCTCAAAATCAGTCCTTAAAAATCACCAAGTTAGGCATAAAGAAGAGAAACCATACAAATGTCTGGATTGTGGGAAAAGCTTTCATCTTAACAGAGCTCTCAGTCGACACCAGAAGACCCACACGGGAGAGAAACCATATCAATGCCTGGATTGTGGGAAATGCTTTACTCAAAAGAGAAGCCTTGTAGGGCATGGAATGATTCACAGAGGCGACAAATCCTATCAATGCCTGGAGTGTGGGAAGAAGTTCAGCTTGAAATCGGTGTTTAAGAATCACCAGGCTAGGCACAGAGCAGAGAAATCATATAAATGCCTCGATTGTGGGAAAAGCTTTCATAACAACGGAGCTCTCAGTCGACACCAGAAGACCCACACAGGAGAGAAACCATATCAATGCCTAGAGTGTGGGAAATGCTTTACTCAAAAGAGAAGTCTCGTAGGGCATGGAATGATTCATAGAGGAGAGAAGCCCTATCAGTGCCTGGAGTGTGGGAAGAGTTTCAGGTACAAATCGGTTCTGAAAAATCACCAGGCTAGCCACACAGAAGAGAAACCATACAAATGCGTGGACTGTGGGAAAAGCTTTCATCATAACAGTGCCCTCAGTAGACACAAAAAAACCCACACAGGGGAGAAGCCATATAAATGCCCAGAGTGTGGGAAAGGCTTTACTAAAAAGAGAAGTTTCATAAGGCACGGAATGGATCACAGAAGAGAGAAACCCTATAAATACCAGGAGAGTTATGCAGGAGATCTTCTTGGAGATGGTGACTCTTCCAGTGGCGCCTTCACATTCCCTGACGACAACCTCTATTGCACTTCTCCTTGCTCTAATACTGGAGAGATCATCACGTTGATTCTATAGCTCCATGTTCATCCGTTCAGTCGTCTCCGACTCTTCGTGACCTCATGGACCAGCCCACGCCAGCGCTCCCTGTCGGCCATCACCACCCCCAGCTCCTTCAAGGTCAGTCCAGTCACTTCAAGGATGCCATCCATCCATCTTGCCCTTGGTCGGCCCCTCTCCATACCTACAGAATAATTCCTGGTTCTTCTACTTCTATGTATAGCAATCCTCCAGAGGTCTGTTTATTTCGCATATTTGTATCCTGTCCTTCTCACCCCTGAGGGGGGACTCAGGGAAGCTGTTGTGACTCAGCTGGAGCCACAGAGTGATGCTGTTGTTGCTCTGATGGGATCTCAAGGTGATTCTGATGAGAATGATGGGATTCAGGTTCACAATCAGGTTCAAGATGTCCCTGTTGTAGACAATGAGGAACAGGGTGTGCAAGTTCAGTTTCCCACAGCAGGGAATGATGTTGTTGATACTGAAACTAGCCAGGTGCCAAGTGACTCAGAAAAGGAGGACAGTTCTCAGCCTGATAGTAAGCAGGAAGGCAATCGGTCTGAGACTAACGAGCAGCCTGACCTTGACGAAAAGGGAACCTTAGATCGGGCTGATCGTTTGGAATTCAGAGTTCGAAGGAGTGTGAGAATAGCTAACAGGAAGAAGGTGCGACAAGGCCAAAGAAATGCTTTCATGTTTTCCAAAGGGTATTAAACAAAGTGTTTGAAAACAAACCTTTGTAAGAGTAACTTTTCACTTAGAATCATAGAATCCAAGACTTGGAAGAGACCTCATGGGCCATCCAGTCCAACCCAATTCTGCCAAGAAGCAGGAATATTGCATTCAAATCACCCCTGACAGATGGCCATCCAGCCTCTATTTCAAAGCTTCCAAAGAAGGAGCCTCCACCACACTCCAGGGCAGAGAGTTCCACTGCTGAACGGCTCTCACAGTCAGGAAGTTCTTCCTCGTGTTCAGATGGAATCTCCTCTCTTGTAGTTTGAGCCAAGAAACTTGTGCTGGTTTGCCTGGATTATCTTGCAGTTCTTGTGTTCATGGTCTCAGGACTTTGTCATGTTCTCATGGGATTTTGCTTTTCTGGTGCCTTTTTAAAATCATGTTTCATAGTCCTATTTTGTATTGATCTTTTGGAACATTACTTTTTCTTTTAAGAACTTTTTTATATTTTACTTTTTAATAAACTACAAAGACTTCAACCTGTGTCCAGTTTGGTGTTTTCAGCAAAGTGAATCTATTCTGAGGTGCGACAGCAGCTTACAACAGGCAAGTATTTGATACCATCATGCAAATTTATAAATAAAAATTACAGTTAAAACAGTTAATTAAATCGTTAATTATTAAAACATTCATTTCTGTGTTATCGAAGGCTTTCATGGCCGGAATCATTGGGTTGTTGTGTGTTTTCCAGGCTGTATGGCTGTTGCAATCCAGAGCAGGAAACGAGGCCCTAAGATAACTATCCACCACACTTGACTGTGAAAAAACAATCCTTTTTTATTGAAGAAAAATGGTTACAAAATAAAGGAAAAATGCAAAGTCAAAAGCCACAGCAAAATCAGCAAACATGAATTTCCATGAACAAGATCAAAACCCAAAGCCACACTGTAAAATACTGGAACCTGTTAGCAATCCACTAACCGTACTTGATATCCTAGAAATCTTTCAAGACGATGGCCAGGGAAACCGGGAGAACTGCCAAGGTCTTCATCAATCTGAAACGATGCCTGAACTGAGAAAGTCAGCCCGGCGGAAGGCACTTAAAGCCGAGGAATTGGTTTCGTGATACGCCTCCCTGCTTTGAAGCCCTTGTTTGTATTTCTTTTAATCTGGAAGACCTTCGCAAGCTGAGTGATTTACTCCTGTCTTGCCAGATCTGGCCCCTTCTATTCTCATTAAGGTTCCCAGGTGCAGAAGGGAGTGAAAGGTCATTGCTTCCCTCTGAAACATTCTCATGAACACTGGTACTTTCATTTTCCAAATCTACAGAAGTTTCTTCCTCACTAATTTCAGGAGCATTGACATCAAGAAGTACATTTTCATTAGCATCAGGAAGTACATTTTCATTAGCATCAGTAAATATATTTTCATTAGCATCAGGAGGAACAAACAGAGAATCAGGTTCAAACTCAGGCTGAACCCCAACACTGGCCATGTTTCAGAAGTATTCACTCCTGACATTTCGCCTGCATCTATGCCAGGCATCTTCAGAGGTTGTGAGGTTTGTTGGAAACTAGGGAAGCTGATGAAGAAACACAACCTAGAAGCAATCTACAGACCCACTAAGAAAATCCAACAAATGCTATGTTCAGCAAAAGACAAGAGGGATCCTCTCACTTCTGCAAGAGTCTCCCATATAGCATGCAGCCGTGGACAAGTTTACATAGGGACCCCCAAACGCAGCAGCATTGCCCAGACACAAATCAAGGAACATGGAAGGCAACCAGAGAAGTCAGCCATAGCAGAACACCTGATGAACCAACCTAGACACAGCATATTATTTGAAACACAGAAATGCTGGACCACACTCATAACTATCAATTCAGGCTACACAAGAGAAGCCATGTGGACAATGTCAATAGAAAGGAAGAAACCATGAAAATGAACAAACTATGGCTATCGGTATGAAAAAATACTAAAACCTTAACAGCAACAACAATCATAATAAAAACAACAACACTTTATTTATATTCTGCCCTTCTCACCTTGAAGGGGACTCAGGGGGGATCATAGTACACATACACAGCAAACATTCATTGCCACTTTGTATAGACAATACACAGACAGAACAGAAGGAGGGGGTTTGTTTCAGCTGTTTTTGGTGCCATGGGCTTGAGTCCAAGGGGTGCTGTTCCTCTATCCTCTGTGACGAGCTGTCAGGACTTCCTCCTTCCTTTTGATCGCCCAGCATTTTCTGATCTTCTTTATGGCATAAAACACCTGCCCCACTTTTAGCGGTACCTTCTTTCTCTAATCACAGCTAAAGCTCAGGTAAATAATGAGCTAGGCTGACAGTTGGCAGCTCACGCCAACCTGGGGCTTTGAACTTGCAACCTTTTGGTTGATAGATCTTATAATTGCTGATGATTTATCAGCTGTGCTAAACCTCTGGCCCACAAATACATAAAGCAAATAAAGAACAACATGGGAATTCCAGACAAGAAACAATCAGGGCCAGCTAATAACCTCCCATCAAAGGATTCCCCCAGGCAGTAAGAAGCCAGACCTTGAAAACTGCCAGGCTATTAATTGTTAATAAAGGTGGCCAATTACTACATTCACACCTACCTTAAACAGACAAGAGTTCTTTCTCCCACCATGGACATTCTGTATATATATTAACCTCATTTTCCTAGTTTCCAACAGACCTCACAACCTCTGAGGATGCCTGCCAGAGATGCAGGTGAAACATCAGGAGAGAATGTTATTTATTTATTTATTTACAGTATTTGTATACTGCTTTTCTCACCCCGAGGGGGACTCAAAGCAGTTTACACATAATGCTTCTTCTTCATCCTGGAAGGAAGTGACAAGTGGAGTGCCACCAGCAGGGTTCCGTCCTGGGCCCGGTCCTGTTCAACATCTTTATTAATGACTTGGATGAAGGGCTAGAAGGCATCATCAAGTTTGCAGATGACACCAAATTGGGAGGGATAGCCAATACTCCAGAGGACAGGAGCAGAATTCAAAACGATCTTGACAGATCAGAGACATGGGCCAAAACTAACAAAATGAAGTTCAACAGGGACAAATGCAAGATACTCCACTTAGGCAGAAAAATGAAATGCAAAGATACAGAATGGGGGATGCCTGGCTCGAGAGCAGTACGTGTGAAAAAGATCTTGGGAGTCCTCGTGGACAACAAGTTAAACATGAGCCAACAATGTGATGTGGCGGCAAAAAAGCCAATGGGATTTTGGCCTGCATCAATAGGAGCATAGTGTCTAGATCTAGGGAAGTAATGCTACCCCTCTATTCGCTTTGGTTAGACCACACCTGGAATATTGTGTCCAATTCTGGGCACCACAATTCAAGAGAGATATTGACAAGCTGGAATGTGTCCAGAGGAGGGCGACTAAAATGATCAATCTGGAGAACAAGCCCTATGAGGAGCGGCTTAAGGAGCTGGGCATGTTTAGCCTGAAGAAGAGAAGGCTGAGAGGAGACATGATAGCCATGTATAAATATATGAGAGGAAGCCACAGGGAGGAGGGAGCAAGCTTGTTTTCTGCTTCCTTGGAGACTAGGACGCAATGGAACAATGGCTTCAAACTACAAGAGAGGAGATTCCATCTGAACATGAGGAAGAACTTCCTGACTGTGAGAGCCGTTCAGCAGTGGAACTCTCTGCCCCGGAGTGTGGTGGAGGCTCCTTCTTTGGAAGCTTTTAAACAGATGCTGGATGGCCATCTGTCAGGGGGGATTTGAATGCAATATTCCTGCTTCTTGGCAGGGGGTTGGACTGGATGGCCCATGAGGTCTCTTCCAACTCTTTGATTCTATGATTCTATCTGGCCACTCTCTCTCCATGTCTTGCTGGAGTCTTCCTGGCAGGATCTTGAGCATAACCTTCCTGGCAGGAGAAATAAGGGCCACTGGACCAAAGTTTGAGCCATCTTTAACATTTCCCTTTTTTGGTTTGGGGATAGAAGTTGAATGGAAGTTGAGTCTCCCTAAAAGAGGAGGGGGCTGGACTGGATGACCCTGGGGGGTCCCTTGCAAATCTATGAGCCTATGAACCAATGGAAGGAGAGAAGGGGCGGGGAAAGGGGAGGCCCCTCCCACCCCGCGAGAGAGCAGCCTGGACCCAGGAAAGGGGAGCCAGGCCTGGAAAGAGGGGGGCCTGCCCTGTTCCCCCCAATTTGGGCAATGGGTGAGTCCTCCTTCCCTGCCTTGGGGCTTTTGGGGAGTCCTGGATCTGCAAGGGAAAGGGGGAGGTGAAGCATAGCAAAGGGAGGGGAGGGAAGAAGGGGAGACCTCCCATTGATTACTCATGGAGGAGGAAAGAAGGAAAGGCTGGAGAGGAGGAAAAAGGGAGAGGAGACAAAGGCCCACCAACTGGTATTTTGGACTACACCTCCCAGTATCCCTGGCCAGGAGGGACACAAGGAGGGCTTCAGGGGTCCTCCACCCCTTCTCCCAAATGTTATTTGTTCTTAAACCTGGGGGAACACCTCTGTGTGCATGTCTAGGTCCCCAAGTATGACTCACTGGTTACCATACAGTCTCAATCCTCCAAAACCAGACCCACCCAATGTGCAGGACCACCTGTGTCCCTCTGCCTTGGAAAGCCCACCTTGGGCAAGGCACACACTCCCAGCCTCAGATCAGCAGAGCTTTCCCAATGTATTGGTGTGTTGCAACAATGTATTGGTGTGTTGCGCAAATGTAACAAGCAACCTCTAAGTCTATGAGAAATATACAATACATTGTATATTTTCAAATGTATAAATGAAAGGTTTTCATGAGATACATAGTATCCTCATATATTTCATTATGAGTTGGCTGTGGCACAGCTAGCTGATGGTCAGCTTCATTAAAATCACTACTGACCAAGAGGTCATGAGTTTGAAGCCAGCCCGGGTCGGAGGGAGCTTCCGGCCATTAGTCTAGCTTGCTGTCGACCTATGCGGTCTGAAAGATAGTTGCACCTGTCAAGTAGGAAATTTAGGTACCTGGGTTGTTGTAGGTTTTTCAGGCTGTGTCACCATGTTTTTGAAGCATTATATCCTGACTACTGACCGAGAGGTCATGAGTTTGAAGCCAGCCCGGGTCAGAGTGAGCTTCCGGACATTAGTCTAGCTTGCTGTCGACCTATGCAGCCTGAAAGATAGTTGCACCTGTCAAGTAGGAAATTTAGAATAATAGAATCATAGAGTTGGAAGAGACTTCATCAGCCATCCAGTCCAACCCCATTCGGCCAAGAAGCAGGAAAATTGCATTCAAAGTACCCCCGACAGATGGCCATCCAACCTCTGTTTAAAAGCTTCCAAAGAAGGAGCCTCCACCACACTCCGGGGCAGAGAGTTCCACTGCTGAACGTCTCTCACAATCAGGAAGTTATCTATTCCGCTGCATTCTCAAAAGCTTGCTCAAAGAGCCAGGTCTTTACTTTTTTTTGGAAAGTCAGGAGGGAGGCGGCCAATCTTATATCCCTGGGGAGGGAGTTCCATAGCTGGGGGGCCACCACTGAGAAGGCCCTGTCCTTCGTCTCAACCAATCGCACTTGCGAGGCAGGTGGGATCAAAAGCAAGGCCTCCCCAGACAATCTTAAGCTCCTAGATGGTTCATAGGAGGAAATACATTCGGACAGGTAAGCTTAGGCTCTTAGGCTCGTCTCTTTTCTCACAGGGAGGTTGTAAAGCTCAAGTTTGAAGCAGACAGGAACTGCATGCTGTTTGAATAAATTGGAGGCAAGATGTGATAGAGATCGAAGTCACAAATACATAACAGACAAGTCTCCTAGGTGGAGCAAAAGCTAGGATTGGAGTCTGACCAAGGCCTAGAACAGACCTTTCCAGACTGCATGTTGCAACATGTTAGTGTCGGCTACAGCGTGTAGGCGTGTCATGCGAATTTTACGAGAGGCCTCTGAGTCTATGTGAAATAAGCAATAAATCATTTAAAAACAAACCAATGAAAGATCTTCATGAGGTGTGCTGCATCCCTGTATGTATGTACTGTATTTATGTGACAGTATCTCGTGTAAAGGGTTGGTTTAACTTCAGGTTTTACTGTGTTGCAAAATGATGGAATACAAAAACATTATAAATGAAAGAGTTTCATGTGATATGGTGTATGGCCATAAATTTCATTACTTACTTAGGCAACCCTAACAGTCCAATGAGTGTTCATCACCCCTAAACACACACAAACAACCCAGCAGAATGGACTTAAAACCCCCAAAATACACCATATATACATATACACTCATATACATATACACATGCACACACACATACACACACACATATATATACAGAAGCGCACACAAATATACACACATACATATACATAGACACATATTGTTGTTATGGAGTCTTCGAGTAGTGATACTACTGGGAGTATTAGGAGGGGAAGAAAGACTACTCATGAGCAAGACTCCGATGAGGAGCAACAGAGAAAGTGGTTCAGGGAAATACATATGGAATCCAGTGATGATGAATAATTTGAGGGCTTCGCAGGGAATAATGGGTCTGAGACTGATGAGAGTGGTATGGCAAGTTCAGAGGATGGAGAAATGGACTGGACTAAAGCGCAGGAAGTTCAGAACGTTTGTGAAGAGACCACAAGTAGTGACACATAAGTGGGGTTCTCTGGTTGGCACAGTGGGGATCCGGCTGAGTCTTGGGGAGTTATGGGTCTGGTTAGAAGATGGAGAGATTGGAGAGATCAGTAAAGGGCTTCAGCTGAAAGGAGGTCTGGTGGGGCAGGCGTCTGATTCCAGTTCTGAGGAGGAATTGGGGCAAGAGATTTCAGCTGATAACAGGGTGTTGGCTGGTTCCAGTTCAGAGGATGATTTGTGAATAAAAGTGGGGTTGGGAGATGGGGTTCCTTGCAGTTGGCAAGGTGTTGATGGGTATTAGTGTGTCCTTGAGAGCTGTTTGAAAAGACGTGTTTGGGAAGACTTCTGTGGACCTGCTGCGCTGCCGTTCTTAGTTTTGGCTCTGTGTATGACCTAGACAGGATTATCATGTTTGCTGCCTTCTCCTTCCTCGACCCGGATTGGATTCGCAACGACAACTACATCACATTTGGATTGACTTGGCAGACGACTTCGGCCTTGCTGTTTGGCCATTCATATTCGCTGACGTCCTGCTGTGGATTGGAGTACCTTTTTTCCTGCTGATTGCATAGCTTTAAGTTTAAACCGGATTTTATTCCTGTTTAATCTGGGTTATTTTCCAGGTCCTTTTTTGGGTTAACTCTGGGTAATACTGTGTTTCACACTGAAGAATAAGTGTTTTGAGCCTTTCGGTTTGTTTTTGGACTCTCTTGGTTGTGAACTAATAAACTTTACTTTTATTAAATACTGGTTTGGCACTTTAAGGGGTCTATCTTGCAACATATATATATATACATATACACATTAACACACACAAATATACTCATGCACACATACATTCACGCATATATACACACAAATATGCATATAGACAAACACAGACATATACACAATATACATATACACACATGAACAAACAAATATACATACACATAT